CCCCCCCAAAAAAAAACAACAAAAAAACAACAAAAAAACAAACAACAACAACAACAAACAAACAAACAAAAAACACAGCATCCGTGAGCTGGATTGAAAGTAAAGAATTACCGGCTGTCCTTGCTCCTGGTTACTTGTATAGGGAAGGGACAGAGGAACAGCGGGACAATAAAATTTTAATATACGCAGAAGACGAGTTTTCGTCGAGGGACATTCTCTTGACTTAATATGCCCGCTTTTTCACGATTATTATGATTTTTTCCCGCATGCCCCATTGCGCATCACGCCTACAAATGAAAACACACGTTGTTTCAGTAGTGCTGTTATTGTTTTTTTAATCACGTTCCTGGAAAAGCCCATAAAAGCGAAATGTTGAATGTTTATTTACAACCCTTATATTTCTACTGTCATAAAACTTCAAAAGCGACAAAGTCACCACCAACTTTTTGGTTTTTCTTATCGTACTTACAACAAAAACAACGATGATGGTGATGATGATGATGATGATGATGATGATGATGATGATGATGATGATGATGATGATACAAGTATACAATTTTTTTTCTACTTTAAAACATGATATGGGGAGACTTTTACTTTTCGGTTTCCTTTTCTTTGTGCTGTTGCACTTGATTGTATATCTTCCTCTCCCCCTTTTCGAAATGTAATTTGTGCCAGTTCGGCGTGAGCTTTAAACACTATGTGTGAACAATTTTAACGTATCTATACGCTCAGCCAGGACCATGGCGGTAATGACTTAGCTTTTCTTTTTCAGAGCTTCGGCTCTTTACGATATTGTCCAAATCGCACCAATGCGTAACTTGTAGTGAACGCTTTGTTGCTATGGCGTCATCACTCAATTTTTTTTCTCAGATACTATGTTCCTGATGAAGCCTTATTGGCGAAACGTTGAACATCCAGGCCTATACGAACATCTAAATAAACGACACCAACCCTATTCAAGTCTCAAGTATACCATTTTTTTTTCTACTTTAAAGCATGATAGTGATGATGATGATGATGATAAACAATATTTAAATAACGCCATAAAAAATCTCTAAAACCATCCAAGTCTCCAAGTTATCATCACAAAGTTATATTTAAAGAATGATCTAGTATGGAGGACTTTAGCCTCATCTAATGTATCTACCTCTCCTGCGCCGTTTGGGTATCCTGGTCGCTCTCGCTCGAAAAGTGGCGTCTTGATGGGGCCAGGGCTGAAACATCTCGAAAGTTACAGTCGAATTACTTCTTGCATATGATTCTTTGATGATGATGATGATGATGATGATGATGATGATGATGATGATGATGATGATG